ACTTGAAATATACAAGTGTCGGTGCGTGATTAAGTCAAATACACAGGTGACACGTGGATACTTTAATTAGTTGATTGGTATTTATAGCAGAAAGATTTTTTTATTTACTTAATGGATAAAACATAAATAAAAGTAAAAAATATTATGAATTAAAGAAAGCTAATTGATATAACTTAATTATAATCATGGTAGAAGCCAGAAATTTTTTTTATTCATAACAGTTTTCTATTCTCCCGTTTTATACATTTATTTCGTCAGCGTTTTCCCTCTATATCTATATCGTCCGCTTTTTCACTATATGTCTATATTGTCCGCATTTTCTGTAGCCACTTTATTAATTGTACAAGGGTGAGATGTATGATTACTTGAAATATACAAGTGTCGGTGCGTGATTAAGTCAAATACACAGGTGACACGTGGATACTTTAATTAGTTGATTGGTATTTATAGCAGAAAGTTTTTTTTTATTTACTTAATGGATAAAATATAAATAAAACTAAAAAATATTATGAATTAAAGAAAGATAATTGATATAACTTAAATATATACATATCACACTTAATTGTAATGCTTTAAGTTAATTTGCAACACGTGTATTTTCACCGGTAAACGTTAATTTTCAAAAATATACTCATTCGCCCCACTATTTCATAATTATATATGTACACAAAAGAAGATTCGGCGAATATGTCAATTAATGTGCAATATAGAAACAAAAGTAAATTACAAAACATAGTAAATTGTATATTTTGAAAGAATGTCAATCTACAGTAACCACTAAATATATCTATATCGTCCGCTTTTTCCTCTATGTCTATATTGTCAGCGTTTTCCCTATATGTTTATCATGTCCGCGAATTGCGTATGCAAAGTGTTCAAATATATTCAAACTTATTTCTTGTGCCCTTATTCAGTTTTCCACACGTGACTGTTGCATGTTTTGTACTGTTTAATTAAAAGTTGTTAAGTCAATTAACATGAACAAATAAAAAACATAAATTTAAGAATTTGAACAAATAAATAAACTAAAGTCTTTTTTAATTATTATAATAATTACACCTTACAATTACTACTGCTTCTAACTAATGTCTTTCATATATTACTTTATAAAAGCCAATTATTAGCCTTTAATATGAATTTAACTATGCTCAGTCATTTTACACTATATATCTATACACGCATTCTCAATACCATTTACAAATATTGAATCACGGAAAGTGAAAAAAATAATGTTCAGAGATCATAAAAATAATGTTTGAATATGGAAAAAGAATATCTCCCGGACATAAATTTGAATTCTTGCAAACAAGATACGAACCATGTTCTCTCAGTTCCATATCAAATTTTAAGCAGGTCATTCTTATAAAAAACAGGGCAACAGAAATGTACGTTACTTTGAGTATCCTTAAATAAGCAGCTCATAATCATGTAACTGTTGAACTAGTCAGTAATTTTGTTTTCACAATTCCATTCTCAAAAGATGTAGGATGGAAATAAACACATTTTTTGTTAAATTATACCAATATATTCAGGTTTTTGGAAATGTTAAAACAATAACAAATTTTACAGATGAATGATACATATTTTACTATTTCAATGCATACTTCGAAGTTCTTTACAGATTTATCGTGAAAAAGCAAAGTTCGACATTAGAATGCTATTGATTATTTATGATACATATAAAACTCCACGTTTGTAACTAATTCATGCATGTAGCAGTTGTTTTTTTTCCACCCAAATTTGCCTTAAAAGTAATGTAATAATTTTGTAACGTACATTTCAGTTTAATACAAAAAAATATCAACAGTGAATTTCATTAAGGAAAATTCTGACAGGAATGGGAAAACTTTAAATATTTCATGTTTCGTATTTATTTATTTTCTAAACATTTGAACAATTAACTACAAAAATCATATGCTTTTTCAGAATAAGATATTGTATACGCATACAGAAATAAGATGTATTTTAATTGATGATTCTGTTCATATAAGGTAAAAAGTACATGTAAACAACATTATATGTGCATATTTAACCATTTATGACAACATACATTGTGTGATAAATGCTTAAAATATCTTTAGCATTTTTGAAGACTTTCTTTTTAAAGACTTTATTAAAATACTCTTGTAAACTCTTCATTGGTAACGATACATTTCAGTTTTCTGGCATGGGTTCTGTACATAAAAAGACACCAATTAATATTTAACATTTATAAACAAAAATGTTTTCCTTTTTTTTATATATTTAATTTAAAACAACAAACATTTTTACTTTATAAAATAATTTAAAAACACATGTGATCATCCTTATATGCTACGTTTATTCATTGTTATGAGGAATAATTTTTACAGCAATATCCAGAAATGTTTTGAGGCCAATTTTATGGTGTAATTGATAAGTTTGTTGAATTTTTTTATGTAAAAAAAAAAAAAAATAAAAACATGTTTTAATATGGCAAACTTCAATTTTATGTGCAACTTTTGCAAGTAACATACATTCGTCGAAAAGCCCTGTAATATCTTTTTCAATAGAATTTCGCATGTTTTAAGACATTATGATTTTACCCAAAATCACAATTTTTGAAATGCATGTAAAAATATATGCCTTTAGGAAGTGTTTAACCACATTAACTTGATTATTTTTGTTGCTTTACCAAATATATTCCAGTGTTTTGTACACAATAAGCGGTAAATTCTGGAAAAAATCAATTTACTTTATATGAAACATTGCTTATATGAAACATCGTTTTTGCTTTTATTTTATAAAACATTGTTTTCTTTCATTTCTCGCTTTGTTAGTCAAATATTTCAGATTCTGTAATACTAAATTCTACAATAACGCTCTTTCCAAAGCTAACTTTAGGTATCTTTCAGCTCTTGTTCTCTACCTGTAGCCTTTTTGAATCCTCGGCCCTTAATTTCGGGTCTCTGAAATGTACGTTACTAACAATTGAAATGTACGTTACGTGTTGTTGATGTTAATGTAAGTGAGAAATCATTGTTTGGGAGACCTTTTTATAGTTTCATACACAATGCACATTTGAGTGTGCAGATGCTAGAGAAAAGATTAAAAATGTTCAATATCATCACAACTGTTCAACTTAAACAATCACATTCCTGTACAAGTCCAACTTTTGTAGATAGAAACAAATGCCTGAATAAAATTCATATGCAACTGATGCAAATACAAGTTATATTTAATTTGTTTTCGTTTCTAATCATCCTATTCTTACTTGTTATTACATGAAAAACATATTCATGAAGCAACTTTTAAGAATTCGGGAGATACTCTTCATTGAAATTACTAATACTAGTTTTTGAAAATGTACGTTACGAACAGTAACGTACATTTTTCATGGTACTTTTAAGCAGAATATACTTTCCACTACTACCTTTTGTTTACATTGCGAAAAAACATGCTATCACATCTCAAAATCCAGCAGAATGTTTACAGTAGATATATGTTTATATAGATAAAATGTTTTCTAATATATATTGTGATATCGTATATCAAACATGAATTTACCTTAAATTATATCCACGGTGACACAATACAATAATTATTTACGCTTTGATGTTACAAAACTCTTCTCTCCATATAATTTTTCTTACCTAAGGTATCATATTTTAAGTGTAGTGAATATTTTTTAAATTGCGGTAACGTTCGTTTCGGTAACGTACATTTCTGACCACTTTTCAATGCAGATCTGGACACAGTCTTGAGAAATAATAACAATTTCTCAACACATAGCTTTTTATTGAGGGAAGCTTTAACTACTTGACACAAGTCTACCTCTTTACATTTTCATCAGTTCCTGTAGCATCAGTAACGTACGTTTCGCGGCAAAAATTACGTTTTAAGTTTCTCAGAAAATCATCCATCAATTACGGAATCTTTATATACCACTTTTATAATACATTATTTTGGACAATATGGCCAATTATCTGCCAAAAAACTTCAAACTTTGAAAGATCTTATTATTTAAAAAATATTTTTTCCACTGTTTAAAAACGCACACTCCAAAAGGCATGTATCAGTGGAAAGGAAGAAACAACAATTTTGTTTGCATTTTTATCATAGTTTTCAGTATGTTCCACTGTTAAATTCACGCTAAGGCATTGTGAGATACAAAAAACACCAAACAATTGTTTTATAAAAGACCAATTGAAACATGAAAAGATTTAAAGTTCATTTTTCATATAGAGACGGTCACGTACGTTTCATTTTTTACTATTGTGCGATAAATATTTTTTCAAATCATGACAGTTGACCCCTTTTTTGTTTTGATTTAATTGAAACAGAACATGTTTGATGGAACAGATGCTTTAGGTAAAATATATGGCACATAATAAGACGAATATGCGGCGTGGAAAGCGTTTTGATCTATTCTGTAAATGATATTGAGAATGCGTGTATATCGTCCGCTTTTTTCCTCTTTGTCTATATCGTCAGCGTTTTCCCTATATGTTTATATTGTCCGCTTAAGGCGTCCGCGGTTTAGACTGTGCCCGCAGATTAGCACCCAGTTAGATTCGAACCATATTAAGGAATACAGTATAACCTCTGTAGAGCGTTCCTCTGAACATCAATACTACCTCTTTACAGCAACAATTTATTTCTTCCTAATGACGTAACGTAAAATATATTGTCGTATCGAAAACCCGTCAATCCAGGATACAACTTTTTACCTCAGCTTAGTCCAATATGGCTATTTTGTGTATGGGCAATACCAGAACAAATTGTGACATACCTCAGAATCCAGCTTTGGCACGTCAATATATTTTGACAAAGTTACATAGTTACATTCTTATATTGTTGATTCAGTGTTGCAACTAAAGTTACAAGTATTCAGAGTGCTATGAAAATGACTATTATTATAGCTTTGAACTTTTTCAGTATAAATACTTTTCTTGAATCAAGTCAATTTATTAGCGCAAGATATAAGATCATTATAATATACATACTGATATATAGAATTCATTAAATTTGTGAATTTTCAGACAGACATGGTGAATGAGAAATGAGCAATATATCTTCTATGGCTCTCAAGCAGGCAAAAGCTGCCTTAAGGGCGGAATTGAAAGCCAGACTTGCAGCAATGACGAATGTAGATCGGAAGCTTCAGTCAAATACAATAACTCAAATGGTATCAATTACACTGCCATCATAAAGAACATTTAAGATTGTGTAAAATATTTCTGCTTTTATTAAATAGTACATGTATTAATTATTGAGTTAAAACATATTTTCTTGTTATAATTATAAATATATGAATTGTTAATAATTGATATGCAAATGTAATAATGATTATAGGTTTTGTCTTAGATAGGTATTTTTAACATTTAAGAAACAGTTATTTTTAAGCACTTGGAAAAATAAAGCTATATCATAGATATTGCAATAGTATTTTGATAGTTATTTCAACTACACAGTACTTTTGGTATTATGGATATACATTTGTAATTGCTTTTGGCTGCACAGTTCCACAATCAAGGTACTGTCAGGAATGTTTGTTTGTTTGAAGTTTATGTCACACAGATACAGTATAGGTTGTATGGTGACATTCCAGCTTTACTGGTGGAGGAAGGACTCGGGTTACCTTCAGTGCATTATTTCTGGCATGAACCAGCATCTGAGTAGGATCAACAATGTTTAGGATTATTAAATGATTTTTACTGGAATACTCAAGCATATAGAGATTTTAATTAAGATCAAGGTACTGTGACTATTGTCATGATATTTGTTTTGGCTACATTACTTAAATAAAGAGTTGGAGATACTTCTACTTCAGCAAAGTTATTTCAGACTTTCATAATTTCAGTTAACTTTGACACCAGAGTACCAAACCAGTAAGAGGGTATGCCTGTACCTAAGTATGCCAGAAGAGGTGAATACTTATGGCATTATGAAACATGCATTACAAAATAAAGAATGCTTTATACCTCAATACATAGGTAAGAATATTTTGATTCATTGTAATAATATGGGAAAGACGCTTGACCAAGTTGTTTTTGGTAGAATTGTTAGAACGTCTGACTTAACATTTCACTACTGTGATGTGTGAGCTCAGAATGAATTAAATAATTGAGTTACCTCCAGAACAGGTAAGAAGTTATTTAGCATGCATATGGAAGGTTGATGATTCATACCAGCTTAGTGTCCCTTGCTGAAATAATGCATGGATAAATATGTCATATCTTACTTTAATAGGAATTGCTAGAAAATGGCCATACGACCTTAATGTAAAGCCATATGACCCATATAGTGTTAAAAAGCACTTTTAACATATCTCAATCAAAAAGAAAAGTTTTCAAAGTGTCACAACATAAAGCTTTTATGATTGCCTCTTTTTAAGGTTTGTGTGTTAAGTTGTTTAAGCTAAGAGATGAGAGGCAAGTGATTTGAAATCTGCAGTGACCATTTATCACAGAGATTTATGAAAAAGTCTTTGAATCATCAAAGTTCACAGATTTGTACTGGTATGCTGCCTATGAAAACAAATAGCAGCAATAGTCTTATATCTCTATTTTTATCATCATCATCATCATCATCATCATATTGACCATGCATAAAGAGTATTATTATAGTTATACAGTGTACATTGAAGTTGATACTTGGAAGTGAGAAGTTCATTTTTCTATAACCCTTAGTACAAGTGAAATATTGAAAGTACTGTACTCACTTTAAAGGGAGACACAGGCAAAATTTTCGTATTTTCGATTTGGTTTTTTTTTATACAATTTTCTCTAAATGTCCTCGAAATGAATAGAATAAGCAGACTAGGGAAGATAAATTTTCTCCATATAAAGAAAAAAAATGTTGGTTTCCTAGCCTGACCCACGCGGGTCAAGTTAGAGCAATTATATTTCACCATAGTTATCACAGTGAACTATAAAAACGTAAAAAGAACCTGTCAAATGAGCGACTTAGACTTGTTTTAATCATACAATATCCGCAATATCTGTTTTTAAACTTCTAGGGTTTGTAATTGTCAGATGACTTGTTTTAAAACTACTAGTTAGTTCAGTCTGCATCTTCATTTCATTCAACATATGTAGATTTATTTACATTTTAAATTCACATGATAAAGTATTTATACAGAAAAAGCATGCTGGGACTTTTAAAAACTTAATTTTAGCGTGATTTTAGTAAATATGATGAATTTAATATTTTGTCATTCATTTGCCCGAGTATCCCTTCAAAGAATTAAGTACAATATTTCATCTTATTTGGTTGAAGACAGAAATAGATTTTCTGTACATGTATATACTATGCTATTTAATGCATCTCAACCAGGAGTAATGGTTTCAAGCCCTACTGCAGTCACAACCATATTTCTTCACATGGCACAAGTTCCAGGAAGTGGACTAGATATTTTAAGCTTCCATCACAATTCTTGTATCACTTTTGAAACTATTTGTAAGCTAATCAGTATTTTCTTCTTACAGATACCCAAGCTCTTTAACAACCACTGTCTTTTTAACTTTTGCCATTTCAGAAAACAAGATTGTGGCCCAAGGATAGCTTGGATTCACTATTTGTTAAGTTGCACACAGCTACCTTAGCCATTTGACCTATTTGTCCCTACCATATAAAAACATGGTAAACTGCATGATAAATTACTTTTACATGTAGTATTAACATACATTTAGTGTTATCTGTTTGTTGTAGGGCCAGTGATGAAAATGGTCAAGTTAGAATCTTTTGAAGATTATGAGAAATTGCCAGAAACAAAATGGAAAATCAAGCAGCCTGCTGACTCAGATATCAGACCAGATGCCTTAGAAACAGGTAAACATTGGTCATTCTTTGTCAGTTATCAATCATTCTAGCATAAAAACTGTGCAATCAAGTGTACATGAACATAGTACATAACGGAGCATGCTCTGTTTTTAGCTCACCTGTCACAAAGTGACAGGGTGAGCTTTTGTGATCGCTTTTCGTCCGGCGTCCGTCCGGCGTCCGTAAACTTTTACTTTAAATGACATCTCCTCATAAACCATTGAGCCAATTTCATCCAAACTTCACAGGAATGTTCCTTTGGTGATAACCTTTAAAAATTGTTCAAAGAATTTAATTCCATGCAGAACTCTGGTTGCCATGGCAACCGATAGAAAAAACTTAAAATATCTTCTTTTAAAAAACCCAAAGAGGTAGAGCTTAGATATTTGGCATGAAACATCTTCTAGTGAGTGTCTATCAAGTTTGTTCAAATAAAAGCCCTGGGGGTCAAAATTGGCCCCGCCCCAGGGGGTCATTGATTTTCCCTATATGCATATAGTAAAAACTTAAAAAATCTTCTTTTAAAGAACCCAAAGAGCTAGAGCTAAGATATTTAGCATGAAACATCTTATAATGAGTGTCTATCAAGTTTGTTCAAATAAAAGCCCTTGGGTTAAAATTGGCCCCTCCCCAGGGGGTTATTGATTTTCCCTATATGCATATAGTAAAAACTTAAAAAACTTCTTTTAGAGAACCCAAAGAGCTAGAGCTAAGATACTTAGCATGAAAGATGTTCTATTAAAATGGGTGTCTACCAAATTTGTTCAAATAAGAGCCCTGGCCCCGTGTTCACAAAGATTTTAGGATCAGGATCAAGATCAGGATCAAATCTAAAAACTCAAATATTATCCATTATTAATTCTTATAGATTAGATATTTAATATTAAGTTGATAAAACTGGACTTGAAAAAGCATGTTTTTGAAATTAAAGAATAAATTTATTGTAATTTTTGAAAGATATGGGCATTTTACAGTTAATCCAAATATTGATCTTGATCTTAAAATTGATCCTCATTTTGATCCCATTATTTTTGTATTTGTTTCATTATTTGTCTATTTTATCCCAAAACAGGATTGTTTCTTTGCAAATCAGCAAAATATTACATTAACTTTATGTACCATTCAATTCTAGCAAAATACGATCAATATTAGTTATATAAAACAAAGAAAATAAAATCAGGATCACTTGATCCTGATCCTGATCTTTTCTTTGTGAACACGGGGCCTGGGGTTAAAATTGGCCCTGTCCCGGGGGTCATTGATTTTCCTTATATGTGTATTGCAATAGCTTTTTAAAAAAATCTTCTTTGAAAAAACCCAAATAGCTAGAGTTTAGATATTAAGCATGAAACATCTTCTAGTAAGTGTCTACAAAGTTCGTTCAAATAAAAGCCCTGGGGTCAAAACTGGCCCCGCCCCAGGGGTGTCATTGTTTTTAACTATATGTGTATAGTAAAAACTTAAAAAATCTTCTTTTAAAAAACCCAATGAGCTACAGCTTAGATGTTTAGCATGAAACATCTTCTTATGGGTGTCTACCAAGTTTGTTCAAATAAAAGCCCTTGGGTTAAAATTGGCCCTGCTGGGGGTGGGGGAGGGGCAGATCATTGTTTTTCATTATATGTGTGTAGTAAAAGCTTAACATCATGAAACATCTTCTTATAGGTGTCTTCCAAGTTTGCCCAAATAAAAGCCCTGGGGGTTTAAACTGGCCCCGCTCCGGGGGCCTATATACAGGTGAGCGACCTCAGGGCCATCATGGCCCTCTTGTTATGTGTTATGACGAGGGCTCTACAGCCTATACTATTAAAAATGAAATATTGAAATACAAATGTAATAAAAAATATCTCCTGGATGACCTTTCGTATTGGTTTTCTGCCCCACACTGGTCACAATAAAGTTACTAGAGACAGGTTCTTTGCAATTATTTCATTTAAAGAAGCATTTCAGCTTGCTGAAAGGTCAGTGGTTCTTCTCAATTGCCCACTCATACCTGATATAATACATTTAAAGATATTTGAGGCATTTCACCACTTTTGGATTGGTGCTAAATAACCTTTATACTGTCAAACAATGAAACATATTCTTAAGCAAATGAATATCTGTATAATGAATATTAGTTTAAATCTTTCTTATTATTGACTTTCAGGGGGTTTAGACCTGATTCTGCTGCCTGGACTAGGGTTCACGTTACAGGGAGACAGATTAGGCCGAGGCAAAGGATATTATGATACTTACCTCCAAAAATGTAAAGAAAAGGGATTTAATCCAAGAACAGTAGGGCTTGCCTATAGCCAGCAAATTTGTGATAGTATTCCAGTATCAGAGACAGACCAAAAAGTGGACTTTATTCTAACCCCTACATAAGTTCATATATAAGTTTTAGGAGTATATTTTAAAACTTTGTACATGTAATTATTTAAAATAATGTGGAAACTTAGGGCAATATGTTTTAATTAGCAAATGATATTTTAAAAAGGAAACACTTTTTAGCTCGACTATACGAAGTATATGGAGAGCTGTCCTACTCGCCCCGGTTTCCGCGTCCAGATTTCAGATTAAAGTTTTGGTGCAGTAAAATATTTATCACTATTACTTTGTCATTTCTTAAGGTATCAACTTCAAACTTCAAATATATGTTCCTTATCATCAACCACATCTCATGTGAAAAGGTTCATAACTCTGCACCAATATTTTCAGATTTATCTCCCCTTGAACTTAGAATTTTCCTTAAAAAATACTATTTTTTACTGTTATTTCTTTATTACTTAAGGGATCAACCTCATACTTCAAATATATGTACCTTATCATCATTCCCATCTTATGTGACAAGGTTCATAACTCTAGCACCAATATTTTCAGATTTATCTCCCCTTGAACTTAGAATTTTTCTTAAAAATTATTATTTTTTACTGTTACTTATTTATTTCTTAAGGGATCAACTTCATACTTTAAATATATGTACCTTATCATCATCCACATCTTAGGTGACAAGGTTCATAACTCTAGCACCAATATTGCAAGAATTATCTCCCCATAAACTTAGACTTTTTTACTATAAAAATGTTATTTTTTACTATAACTTTTTTAGTATAAAGGTATCTACCTCAAACTTCAAATATTTATTCCTTATCATCAATAGCATTTTATGTGACAATGTTCATAACTCTTGAAGCAATATTTACAGATTTATCTCTCTTTGAACTTAGGATTTTCTTTAAGAAATTTTGTAACTTCTTTACTTTTTAAGGTATCTTCTTCAAACTTCAAATATATATTTCTTATCATTACACACATGTTGTGTGACAAGGTTCATAACTCTAGCATGACTATTTCTAGAGTTATTCCCCTTGATCTTGGAATTTATGTTAACAAATGTTGTTTTTTTACTATAACTTAATACATAATTATACATAATTGATTTTTCTTTCATAGTTTTGTCCTCCTTACTGCATCCATTAATTCATTAGTCGAGCTTCGCTGTCTCCTGTGACAGCTCTTGTTTAAATTAAATAATGTTATTTCTGTAACAAATTTAGGTTTGTAATGTATTAATCATGGAATTTCTAGTGTTTTACATTATCATAAGGAAATTCAATCTAAAACAACTTATTTTATAAAAAAAAAACATGCATGAAAGGGTATAAATCTATTAAAGGCTAATATACCATAAATATTAAAAAAAATTATCAATACAGTACCCTTATGGTCAGTTCTCAAAAATTTTTAACAAATATTAACATGTTATTTTATGCATCTAATGTTATAAGTGGTTCGGAAACAAAAATATTCCGGTGCTATTGAAGCGAGTTGAGCAATAAATTTTTCACTTTTGCTGCCTACTTTCATGTTAGGTTATCTACACTGCCAAATATCATATGATAAACCAGTATATCGAATATTGATCATTTTGTATCATCAATACAAATATTTGATTCTTACCAATATACAGCCCTATTTATTGTAGTAAGATGATGATTATTATTATTACACAATTATTCTGCTGATTTTGAAAGCCTATTCATAGCTTAATGTACTTTTAAAAACTTTTTTTCTGATACATCCAACTATATTGTGGTATGGTGTTTGTCTGTCCATCTGGATGTCCAGCCACATTGTTGTTTACACAGTAACTTGATTACACTTAATAAGGTGTGCTGTTTTAAGGTCAAAAGTGACATTTGTTGTAAATTCCAAGTCTGCTTGATTTTTGGTGTAAAATCTTTTTATGCTCAATAACTTGAGAAGCACATAACCACGATTAATTTTATAATAAGTCAAAGGTCCAGGTACAAGGGACACTTAATGGAAAATTCATGTCAGCTCAGATGTTGGTTGTGATATTACCCATGGTCATTAGATGACCCCTATTCATTTTGAGGTATAAAGTCATAAGAACAAGGTAACAGTTAACAGTAGCAGTTAAGTGGGAAAATGTTCATCTATTTCAATTTTGTACCCCCTAATAGTGTTTAAAATCCAATAATCTTTTGTAATTTTTTTCCCATGCTTTCATGGCAGTTTTGGTTTTACCTGCAACAGTTTTCTTTTGTGTTTTTAGCTCACCTGTCACAAAGTGACAGGGTGAGTTTTTGTGATCGCTTTTCGTCCGTCCGTCTGTCCGGCGTCCGTTAACTTTTACTTTAAATGACATCTCCTCATAAACCACTTAGCCAATTTCATCCAAACTTCACAGGAGTGTTCCTTTGGTGGTCACCTTTAAAAATTGTTCAAAGAATTTAATTCCATGCAGAACTCAGTGGTTGCCATGGCAACCGAAAGAAAAAACTTTAAATATCTTTTAAAAAACCCAAAGAGCTAAAGCTTAGATATGTGGCATGAAACATCTTCTAGTGAGTGTCTACCAAGTTTGTTCAAATAAAAGCCCTGGGGTCAAAATTGGCCCCGCCCCAGGGGGTCATTTATTTTCCGTATATACATATAGTAAAAAATTTAAAAATCTTCTTTTAAAGATTCCAAAGAGCTAGAGCTAAGATATTTAGCATGAAACATCTTCTAATGGGTGTCTACCAAGTTTGTTCAAATAAGAGCCCTGGGGTCGAAATTGGCCCCACCCCGGGGTTCATTGATTTTCCTTATATGTGTATAGCAAAAACTTAAAAATCTTCTATGAAAAACCCAAATAGCTAGAGTTAAGATATTAAGCATGAAACATCTTCTAGTGAGTGTCTACAAAGTTTGTTCAAATAAAAGCCCCGGGGTCAAAATTGGCCCAGCCCCGGGGGACATTGATTTTCCTTATATATGTATAGCAAAACCTTAAAAATCTTCTTTGAAAAAACCCAAATAGCTAGAGTTTAGATATTAAGCATGAAACATCTCTAGTAAGTGTCTACAAAATTTGTTCAAATAAAACCCTTGGGGTCAAAATTGGCCCCGCCCCAGGTGTGTCATTGTTTTTAACTATATGTTTATAGTAAAAATTTTAAAAAATGAGCTAGAGCTTAGATGTTTAGCCTATATACAGGTGAGCGACTTCAGGGCCATCATGGCCCTCTTGTTTATGTTAACCGACAAAGAGCCAATACTCACTCTCAATGTGTCTTGTAGAATCGTTTTTAGCTCACCTGTCACAAAGTGACAGGGTGAGCTTTTGTGATCGCTTTTCGTCCGGCGTCCATCCGTCCGTAAACTTTTGCTTCAAATGACATCTCCTCATAAACCACTAAGCCAATTTCATCCAAACTTCACAGGAATGTTCCTTTTGTGGTCACCTTTAAAAACTGTTCAAAGAATTTAATTCCATGCAGAACTCTGGTTGCCATGGCAACTGAAAGAAAAAACTTTAAATATCTTCTTTTAAAGAACCCAAAGAGCTAGAGCTTAGATATTTGGCATGAAACATCTTCTAATGAGTGTCTACCAAGTTTGTTCAAATAAAAGCCCTGGGGTCAAAATTGGCCCCGCCCCAGGGGGTCATTGATTTTCCCTATATGCATATAGTAAAAACTTAAAAAATCTTCTTTTAAAGAACCCAGAGAGCTAGAGCTTAGATATTTGGCATGAAACATCTTCTAATGAGTGTCTACCAAGTTTGTTCAAATAAAAGCCCTGGGGTCAAAATTGGCCCCGCCCCAGGGGGTCATTGATTTTCCCTATATGCATATAGTAAAAACTTAAAAAATCTTCTTTTAAAGAACTCAAAGAGCTAGAGCTAAGATATTTAGCATGAAACATGTTCTAATGGGTGTCTACTAAGTTTGTTCAAATAAAAGGCCTTTGGTCAAAATTGGCCCCGCCCTAGGGGTCATTGATTTTTCTTATATGTGTATAGCAAAAACTTAAAAAACCTTCTTTGAAAAAATGCTAAATAGCTAGAGTTTAGATATTAAGCATGAATCATCTTCTAGTGAGTGTCTACAAAGTTTGTTCAAATTAAAGCCCTGGGGTCAAAATTGGCCCTGCCCAGGGGTCAGTGTTTTTAACTATATGTGTATAGTAAAAACTTAAAAAATCTTCTTTTAAAAAATCCAATGAGCTAGAGCTTAGATGTTTAGCATGAAACATCTTCTTATGGGTGTCTACCAAGTTTGTTCAAATAAAAGCCCTTGGGTTAAAATTAACTCTGCCAGGGGGGGGGGGGGAGAAAGTCATTGTTTTTCTTTATATGTGTATAGCAAAAACTTAACATCATGAAACATCTTCTAATGGGTGTCTTAATTCCAAGTTTGTTCAAATAAAAGCCCTGGGGTTTAAACTGGCCCCGCTTCGGGGGCCTATATACAGGTGAGCGACCTCAGGGCCATCATGGCCCTCTTGTTTGTTTTCCCCCTCTGTCTTAATGGCCCATCTTTTTTGGGTAGTTGTTGAAAGTCTGTTTGTGTTGGTTGTTTTGACGGTTTGGGCTGTGATATCTCAGGCTCCAACGTTGACCTAAAAAAGACTGCTGATTTTTACCAGTGCTGTTGTACATAAGATTAACCCTTGATTCTGATACTAATGATTTGGCTTCTTCCTGTAGTTTGTCTCCAAAGAGTTTCCCAGCTGAATGCTGATGTTTTAGAATGGCATTTCTGTACCTTGGATGTACTGTTCTATGGATTCTTTCCCTACGTGTTTGTATGTTTTTGTTCATGGCGTTTGTAAGAAGTTTAAAGGCGTCTCCAATATTTTGTTTCAATTCTTTGTCATTAGAATTTTGCACTTGTGCCAAAGCTTTTGTGAGGGGCACGAGTGTGGCAGCCATTGATCCGTGACATCTTTGGAGTATGTTTTCTGCTGCTTTCACTTTTGGATTTAATCTTCGCCAAAGGAAGTCATCAATTTGAGGGACTTGTAGCTATAGTGGGTGTTTAGGCCTTTTCTGTCTGTCTTTTATTTCTTTGTGTTTTGTTTCATCTTTTTCCTTTAGATGAGCTTGCAGAGCACTTGTTGTCAAATTGGCTAGTTTCTCATCAACCCCTGGGCCTACTTCAGAATCTTCTGAATAAAATTCTTCAAGATCCTGTTGCCCCGAAAGAAATAAATCAATGTCATCTTTTTCTTTTCCATTCTTGCTTTGAGTACTCTGTGCATCCCACATCTCTTCATCAGAATCTGTTTCTGAATCCGACTTGTGTCCTGTTCTGTGTTCACATACACTTTTTGAGCTAGAACAACTTTGCTCATCATCATATTTAGTTGTTGTTTTTCTTTTTAAATTATTAACAACTTCTTTCAGTGCTTGTATTGATTTATTCATCTCTGCAACACTGTTCCTGAGAATTTGTCCATTCGTTTTTTTAAAGTTCTCAAAATAGCGTCCCCTGGCAAGCTTTTCCCGTATGGGGCCTCAGACTCTGACCCAGACGCCATATTTGTAAATTGATATGGTAGCTAAAAATCAAATGTTACATACTTATACTATAAACGCCAGGATCAAATTATTTGAGGAACAAATTATTTTCGTTTTCCGAAAATCTAATTTTATCCGATAACGGATATGTAAAACATTCTCCATTCGTTGTTAGTAAGCCCCGCATAAAATATGCATTACTACTTCACGTATTGAGCATATCTAAAACGCGGCACTGCTTGGCTATTAATCAGCTGATAAACACACGCACCTGCTTTTATAATGAAGGGGCAGATTATTATTTATCAATTTACTCTTTAGATAACATGGACACTAATTGCATTTTTGTGCCCCCACTTTAGTGGCGGGCTTTTAGATTTACTCTTGTCCGTCCGTCCTTCTGTCCGTCCGTTCTCTTTTGTGTCGCATGTAACTCAAAAAGTATTTGACCTAGAGCCATGAAACTTTACAGGAATGTTGATCAGCATGTGTAGTTGTGCACCTGGGTATTTTCGTCTGGATATTTTTAGTATTTTTAGAGTTATTGCCCTTGACTTAGTAAAATTTTGCAATTTTCAACTTGTGTCGCATGTAACTCAAAAAGTATTTGACCTAGAGTCATGAAACTTTACAGGAATGTTGATCAGCATGTGTAGCTGTGCACCTGGGTATTTTTGTCTGGATTTATTTTTATGCCACCGCAGCATCTGCGATGCGGTGGCATATAGCGATTCACCTGTGTGTGTGTGTGTGTTTGTTCGTTTGTTTGTTTGTGTGTGTGTGTGTTATATAGATTATATAGTGAACTTAAAAAATCTTCTTGTGAAAAACCACTAGTCCAATTTCAACCAAACTTGGCAGGATTGATCCTTGGGTGAAGGGCTTCCAAAGTTGTTCAAAGAATTTAATTCCATGCAGAAATCTGGTTGCCATGGCAACCAAAAGGAATTATAAGAATAAATTTAAAAAATCTTCTTGTAAAGACCCAAAAGGCCTAGAGCTTAGATATTTTGCATAAGGCATTGTCTGGTAGACCTCTACCAAAATTGTTCAAATTATAGCCCTGGGGTCAAAATCGGCCCCACCCCGGGGGTCATTGATTTTCACTATATGTACATATAGTAAAAACTTAAAATACCTTTTTGTAAAGACCCATAGGCCTAGAGCTTAGAATATTTTGCATAAGGCATTGTCTGGTAGACCTCTTACAATATTGTTCAAATTATAGCCCTGGGGTCAAAATCAGCCCTGCCCCGGGGGTCATGGATTTTCACTATATGTACATATAGTAAAAATTTAAAATACCTTCTTGTAAAGACCCAAATGGCCTAGAGCTTAGATATTTTGCATAAGGCATTGTCTGATAGACCTCTACCCAGATTGTTCAAATTGTAGCCCTGGGGTCAAAATTGCCCCCGCCTCGGGGTCATTGATTTTCAATATATACATATAGTAAAAAATCAAAAAAATCTTATTGTCTGAAGGTACAAGGCTTAGAGCTTTAATATTTGTTAAATGATATCATATATAGGTACTCTACCAAAGTTGTTCAAATTTTGCCTCTAGTGTCAAAATTAAAAGTGAACTTTGATATCAGCTGACCTAGATTTTGACAAAGTGTATTACATGTTGTCCTTTGATGCAGTCATGAAATTTTAGGCTGTGTGAAATATGACCTTCACCACCAAATTCACTAGACTCAAGTGCATTGATATATTCCTACTCTGATCTTTTATTGAGTTAACAATAGATTTAACCACTAATCTGATAATAAGAATTAGATATGCATTATGACAATTTTCAATTGTATAGAAACAAAAAAATCTGTTCCTACACTACTATTTAGTGTTGTTTTATTGCGGTGGCATAGCATTTTTCTCAAATGCAATCTTGTTTTTTTTTAGTTATTGCCCTTGACTTAGAAAATGTTTGCAATTTTCAACTTGTGTCGCATGTAACTCAAAAAGGATTTTACATAGAGTCATTAAACCTTACGGGAAGGTTGTTCAGCATATTTAGTTTTGCACCTGGGGTTTGGCTTGTGGATTTAGCCAGTATTTGTAGAGTTTTTTCCCTTGACTTAGTAAAACCGTTTCATTATGTTGTTATTTGTTCCTTGAGTGCTTGAGTTAGATTCAAGCAACTTTACAGGAATAATGATCAACATCACTAAATTACAGGAATAATGATTCACATCACTGTGAAGCTATGCACCTGGGACTTTGCATGTGGATTTTTTTCCAGTTTTGTTAGAGTTATTGCCCTTGATTTACAGTAGTATAAATTTGCAATTTTCAACTTGTTCATGCATAGCTCAAAAAGTATTTCACTTGTAGGCCTGAAAGTTTACAAGAATGTTGGTCAGGATGTGTACTTATGCATCTTGGGGTTTGCTTGTGGATTTATTCAGTATTTGTAAAGTTCTTGCCCTTTACTTAGTAAAGGATTTTTAGTTTTCAAAAAATATTTGACCTAGAGTCATAAGATTGACA